ATTTTAAAATTATAAGGGAAAAGCAAAATGAGGCAAAAATGCAAGTTCAAGAACATGGATCAGTTCAAACATGCTTTTCTACAGGTAACAATCCAAACATGCTCCAAATATCATGTACATGGTGTTTACAAACACATAACACTCATATCAAATCAGGAATATCAAATGGCATATGGAAATGTGTTTATAAGCACATTGGTAAGCACAAACTCATAGCAGTTTGTAAACGCACAAACTTATCAATCAAACATGGTTCATACATGACCTAAACAACATATAAATGAGATCCTTGATCCACTATCCCCTAGTTCAAACAGCATTATAGCATTGTATATGGTAATGAGGGTCTTTAAATTCAAAGGCAGGCACAAACTTATGACAGGCACAAATACACTAACTTAACATACAATCAAGGTTCAAACATGTCTAAAATGATTTATAAGTGAGGTTATGCACAACCAAGACACTAACTTTGGACAGAGTCAATATATAGCATATTGAATGAAGTCTTTAAGCATGATAACAAGCCAAATCTCAAAACAGTTTACAAACACACAACAACATCAACCAATAAGGTTCATACATGACCTAACATAGCCTTCAAACATGCTCAATCTACTGTATATAAAAAACAACCATGATGCTTCATAAGTGTAGTTTGCTAGAAAAACTTACCTCTTGAAGACTTCCTAAGCAAGCTTCCTTTGCAAATATTTCAGTTGAGTGAATATGGTTTGAGCAACCTCTCCACACCTCCAATGCAATGTTCAATTAGTTCAAGTTCCCTCCAAGTAGCTCCTTAGGAAGTAGGGTAACTTAGGCTCGAAGTAAGCAAGAGATCTTTGTGGAAGACCTTGAAAATGAGTGTACATATGGGTGGTGATGATTTAGACAGCAACAACAACTTATATTTGAAGTGTTTGAGGTGTTGGAAGAGGTGTAAAAACACTGAATAGAAGGATAGCTTCAATAGTGTAGAAAGTTAAACTTTCTTAGGTTTGACAATTGACTTTTGGGAGAAATGATTTTCTGGTGGAAATGATTATTGAAATAGCCTCAACAGATCATTTATGGATTGTTTGAAGTGTTGGTGAAGATTTTTTGTGGCTAGAAATGATTTTGGAGGAAGTTCTGCTCAAGGCAGATTTTGGTTTTAAATGCTAAGTTTCTTAAGTTGCAAGAATATTGGAAACAGAAAGAAGAGAGAGTTTTTCTTGGTTTTGATGCTTGCTCTGGTGTCTTTGTGATGTGCGAAGGATGTCCTATTTATAGTAAGAGTGGAGGAGCAAAGGGTGAGGGCAGATTGGACCTTCTTGCAAGATCTTGCTTTTTGGAGGGAAATGGAAGTAAATCTTCCTCTTGATCTTGATTCTGATGGTTGTGTGTATTTTCAATGTATCTCAGCACTCAAACATCCAGTAAGAAAGTTGTATGAGGTGACTAGAGGGATGGAAAGAGGGGGGGACAACTAGGTTGCAACAGATTTTGCTCAAAAGACTCTCTCTCATGATGTATTTCTTTGTACTTTCTTTGATTAAACAAATCCATTAACCAAAATTCCGCTTTTGCTCATGGATTCCTCTAGTACTTCCATCCATCAAACCTCTAAACATCAGATACAAATCTAACTAAGTGGTTAGAAGCAAATTGGATGGTTTATGCATCCTTTGGCATGAGTTGGACTTGGTTTGGTGACATGACAAATCTCCAACTTGTCACCTTCGATTCTCCCTAACCATGAGGGCTGAGAAAATGCTCTTGTACTTTTTAGAAATCCTCAAATATGATATATAACTTTCATGTTTTACACAAGTTCAAATTCCAAAGGGAACTGTGTCAAAAATCTCCTTGAAGTTGGCTGAAAAGGTGACTTACAAGCACACAAAAAATGAAAATTTTCTAAGTGTTTTTCGCCTCTTGCCTTGTCTTTGCCCATAACTTAAAATCCATTCATTTTTTGATCATAGGTCATTTTGGAACTTTTGTATGGATCCTTAAGACCTTTCTAACAAGCTTTGAATCACTCCATTTGGACATGTGGCTAGGAAGTTACTTAACCCCTTTCAAAACCCTAATTTCCCGACTTTTCGATTACTTCTCAGTTCTTGGTCCAATGGTCACCAAACTTTATGATTAGATATGACATAACATTGGGAAAATAATTGGCTTCAATTTTAAGTCAAAACCCTGTTGGTTAATGGGTTGACTTTTCAGTCAGACGAACCGAACGATCGAAAACCTCTGAATCGACTGTTAGTGTTTTGGATTCCCCGAGGCATTGAAACTTCTTGTGTAGACTTCTTTTGGTCATATGAGACTTATGGACCATGGTTCCACCATTGGAGACCTCTTTAAATCAAAAGTCAAACTACAGTTGACTTTCCCAATCAAAAACCCTAGTCTGGATTCTTGGACTGCACTGTTCTTCTTTCTTGGGTGACAACCTCAAATTGGATTCATACTTGATCCAATGTGATATCCTTGATGATATAGAGAATTGATATATGGAGAATTAACCCAAAACCTTAACTGATCAAACCATAAAGACCTTGATTCCTGACTTGTGAAACCCTAATTCACCTGCATCTTAATAAAGATCAAACTTGAAAGAGGTTAAGGTTAGATAAACAATGTTGACATCCTAGAATGATGGTGTGATCTAGGGGGGAAATTTTGGGGTATAACAGTTGCCCCTATTTAAATATCTTCACCAGATGGCAATAAGAGATAATGATTTCCATAGAATCGTGGTGAAAGGTATTTAAATATAGCAAATCGAAAATTTTGTCCCTTAGATACGATGGTATACAGAAGGACAAATGTGAAAATGCAATGAAGTCTAAATGATGCTTGGATGCAAGAAGATGCTGACACACGAGCAAAAAAAAAAGAACAGCACAACAACGAGTAACCACTCACAGGGGACCCGACACACCGGGGAAAGATCCAAGGCATAATAATCAATAGTTCATACATGACTAGTGATGGTACTTCAAGGGGATCCTCCACACAGGGACACAAACTCCACCGGAGAAGACAAAGCTTTATTAGGAAAAAGGCAAGTCTCCACTTGGGAAATGCAAATCTCCACTAGGGAAATTCAAATCTCTACTGGAAAAATGCATCGAGGGAGAGGCCACGCAGAGGGACAAAATTCAACAGATTCAGACTCCGACCAGGGAAGCAAAAAGACCAGAGACATGGTCCTTATTGGAGAACAAACCAAATGGAGATTTTCCTTATAACAAAGAGTTCAAACGGGATCTTCAAGAAAAGATTAGAAACAAGACCAGATCCGTTGGGGATGCTAGTAACCACTAGTTCCTCAGGACCTACTAGGGATATTCAGGGCTTCGTTGGGAATACTGGTAACAACCAGACATCCTCAGACTTTAGATGGTGCTAGTAACGACTAGACTTTAGAAAAGTAGATTGGTAACAACCAGGTATCGTACCATTAACAATTGGTTTTTCAAATAATGCCAATAACTACTGGATTTCCCGGGGTGTTCGCACATGTTTTTCGCGCGGACAACCTCCAACCTCCCTTCGTGGATTTTCTTAGGGGACCGGCCAAACTAGTCCCAAGACACTGATTTTGGATTGATTGTTTACTTAGGCTTTATGATGCACTCGACGACTGTTGTTTTAGGGAGCGTGTATGATCTAAAACTATCTAACAGTTTCTACCTCTAAAACTATATTCTAACCCGTTTATTAGAAATACTCAAAAATACCTCGGAAACTCAAAAACTTACCAATTATATCGAGCTTTGAATGAGTTGAAATGTCTTGATCGTTGAGATGAATGCTCCTTGTCAGAACTTGATTGAAAACAATTAAGTTTTATGGAAAAAGTTTTTTTGAGGATTGAGAAAGTTTGAAGAGTTTGAGAGTGAGAAGTTGATAAATGAAGAATGAGAGAAGAGAAGGGACTCTGACGCGAATGTATTATAATTTATTTCGGAGCTATATAAACAGAAACATTATGTAAATGTAGCTCCAAAAAAAACCAACGTTAAATTAAAAAAGTGTGTCTGGGAAACACATCTCCAAAAACAGAGAGATATTTTTGAAAGCACACACGATGCCTAAGAACCCAGGATAAGAAATTCTCTCTTTATAATACTCATATTTTCTTCATCAAAATTTTGTCAAAATTTTCAGACAAAATAAGTAAAATTCCAATAGCAAATTTAATAAAGCCTGGTATGTATTTTTATCAATTTTTCTAAAAATTGAATGTAATATTCTGGCATCTTTGGGAATTTTTTGGATTTTACAAAAAAAAAAATAGTAGTTGATAGGGAGAAAAAAATTTTACAATACCATATTTTTCGAAATGTTTAATAATTTACTGATCTTTTTCAAAAAAAATACCAAAAAACTACAAAACATCTCAAAAAGCCTAATAGTGTTAAAAAAAATTGCCTATCCAATATGAATTATCAACATTTTTCAGGAATTTGAAATACTATAAAACATTTTGAAAAATCATGCATTTCTTCAATAAATCAACGTGTTTTTATAAAAAAAATTCCAGTATTTATTCAAAAAAATCTTAATATCTGATAATTTTTTGCAATATTCGAAATTTTTTCATATAAACACAAAATATAGTATTTTACGGTACTTTTAAGAAAATATTTAAATCAGAAATATTTAATAAGGGTAGAGATAATAGCAGCCCTCATGAGAGGTGCCAAGGTCAAATTCTCAATTTTTTGCTATCCAACAATTACAAAATGATGGATATGGTGCACAATCTACGTAGCCATTGCCAATATTTTGTAATATTCTTTTGATTTTTTGGTTGATAAAACTAATGAGCATTTTCACTCGATTAACCGACTTACTCATTACATCAAAAACAATTTTGGCTGCCGCTTACTGCTCTCAAATAGAATCCCATTGAGATGCTATAGTCGTCACATTTTCTTACAAACATTGGAATTTAGTCATTAAAACTTCAAAACTTTACCAGGAAAAGAAAGGGGTAGTCAATCTCGTGTCTCTCCTTCAGCCGCGTTTGCATTGCTTCTCTCTGCATCGTTAGTGGTACATTGATGCAACTGGGGAGAACCAAACAGATTCTTCTGAACAACATCAGTGTAAAGTGAACCACTCCCATGGGTAGAATCAACCTCATATCCACTTCTACTGCTACCTACAACCAACATGTATTTGTAAACGTTAAGCAATTTCTTATCTTATAGGACTTTCAAAGTCCAAACACATTATTTAATTGAGGATGACAAATTACCAGGAACAGATGGGGCAGTAGCAGGCGAGTTTGTAAGCGCTGGTGACATTCCACTTCCCCTTCTCATCTTTGACTGCACCACAGAACCAAATGTAAGTAATGATGGTTGGATGGACCAGTTACTTCAAAATCATGCAATGAATCATGTAAACATGATAAAGGATTATACAGCATAATCTTCAGTTGAAGTTTCAAAATCATGCAATGAATCATGTAAACATGATAAAGGATTATACAGCATAATCTTCAGTTGAAGTACACTTGACAACAAAAGTTGTAGAAAATTAAAATGTCGATAAAACTTAGTTCCCTAACTTAATTTATCATGTGGGAGATGTACTCCGAACTTACAGCTCCTGGAGGTGAAAATCTATAAAATACTGTCAACCAAGATATACTTGAAAGCTGAGCACCTATCTCAAAGATTGTCATAAAGCAAATATCTAAACGCTTAGGTGAGAAGACACATGAATGATGAATGACTCGTCTCTAACAAACTCCATTAAGTTTTTCTTGCTTATAATGATCTAACTCGAGAACTTAGCATACCTTTGAAATTTCTTCACAATGCTTCACAACAACTGATATATTTGCATAACGTCCGTGTACTATCGCATAGGCCCACAAGAGAAGCTTCCTTGGGATGCTCAGATCAAGGGCTTCAACTCCGGTCATAGTTGGGCTGAACGGTGTCTCTGTTAATAATTGAGATGGAATTATATAAAAGTTAAGGCCAGAGGTAAGCACCACAGAAGAACTTTCCCGGTAAAAAATATAGCAAGCTCTGAGCAAAGTGTTAGCTGTTTCCAAATTTTCATCAGAAGCTTTCTTGATCAGTATATTTTTTATTTTTGATAGAATGGGACTCCATTTTGTTTCAATCTTCTCTAAAATAGATGGATCTTCAAAAGATGTAATCAATAATTCACGTGGCTGCAAATCAATACAGAGCAACTGACTATTTTCCATCCCATCATCATTCAAATTATGGACTTGAATCGCATTTGAGAATCCACATGATACAGGAGTGATTTGTGCCAAATTGTATATAAGAGATCGACACAAAGCAACAGAAGCATGCTTACAAACTTTTGTGCAATTACTATTTGAGAGCTTAGGATTCTTAAAACGTTTTCGAATCTTTTCATTAACTGTTTCAAGAGTTTCCAGTTTTCCATTTATCTCCAATAATGATATATGTTCATGGAGATATCTGCAAATATTTGAGGATCTGAATTAGGACAAAACAGACAGCAAAGACATTATATTTCAACCAGAGAAGCTACAAAAGTTTGTGGACTCAGATCGGATTAAAAAATTATTTTATATAATTTTAAAATTAAATAGGATTTACTACCCATATATGATACTTTCTGAAGTATCACGACACTCAATTTCAGGCAAGCTGCATATTTCTGGCCATAAGCTTCCTTGCTCCATAAATAAAGCAAACATTCTATCCAACACATTGTCAGAGCTGCTCACTGGAAAAGAGGCAGTAGTCTGAGAATGGCGCATGGCTGAAATCAGGGCTTTTAAATATTTTCCGATAGCCACTGGTACAATATCTTCAAGGCATAATGAAAACTACAAGTAAAGAGAGACAACAGATCAGGTTTATAATACTTTCAGATCTGATGACAAAGGTGTGCAAATACGACAAGAAATTATGTGGATTTTAGCTGTGAGTTACCCATGCATAATATTACCAGAGTCTAGACAATATTGGAATGTTTTACCCATCTCTGAGGGTGAGGAAAGGGGCTTTGCTCATGCATACAAATACTTAAATAAAAAGGGAGAAATAAAAGACAAATTGAAGGTTAGTTCTATGGTGCACAAGTGAGACATGTGTTGTACCACGCACAAGTTTGTTTTCACCGTTGGATCAATAAGTTCCACCATTGGATCAAGTGAGATATTATTGAATTTATGGTGGGGGGAAAACCAGTGCACGATACAACACAGTTTTACTTGTGCACCACAGAATTAGCCCAAATAGAAAAGCTTCAAAACCTGTTTAAGAAACACCTTTGAGATGTCTAGGGGAAGAAGGTAGCAAATAGTTAATGCGATTGATTTTATTATTGTTGAAGAATTAGGAGAAATACTGGATTGCATAGTTAAATTAATCTCCATTAAAAGTAAATAAATCCATTCAAAAAAGTTGAATGAATCAGCAATAGAAACTTCCAAATATTACTCTGGAGGCAAAATCGCCCTGATTGTGTTTGGAATTTTATATAAAATAAGTTTTTCAGAGACAAAGGAAAAAGATGAAAAGAAAGGGGGAGATATGATTGGTACAAGATAGGATTGATTTTATATAAAATATATTGGCAAGAGTTTTCCTTAAAGTTTAGATAAAGCCGATAGTAAATCCTTCAATTTGCGATCAGATATGATGATATGAACAGGAAGGTGGGTTCCTTCCTTAGGCCTGCATAAATCCATATCTCCAAAAACGAATTTTCATCCCATACTATTATCTTTAAGGAAGTAAAGTTAAAATCAGCATATGAAGCAACATGTAAAAAAAAAACTAAAAAGAAAGAGTGCTTCCAGTTCCATGAGAACAAATGAATCATAACTAAGCAAAAGCAGTTATTGTTCACTGAGTTATAATTCTAAATCAGACTTTAGGGATTTACCCGCTTATCTCCCCGGAGGGAAACATATGCACGCTCAAGAATACATCTATCTCCTGTCTCCTCCAATAGTTTGAGATAAAACAGCAAATACTTTCGAATGCAAGTAATGAATTTTCGAGAACTTTCTGGTAAGTTAACCTCGAGGGCTTTTTTATTCCCAGTAGAACCCGGTGTCTTGCGCCTGATATCATTAAATGCAAAGTAGAAATTAGTTTAGTTATTGACAACATTAAGGTTTCTTAACTTCTGTGTGGCTCAGATAACAAATCCAATAAATGTTATTTTATTGAGTGGGAAGTCCTCAAGTTATATAAAGACCATTTGGGAAAGATTTCTTTTCATTTAAAAAAAAAATCCCCGATATATTTCAAATCTTCAAACTTTTGTTATAACACACAGTAGAAATACCAAAGCATTTGTCACACACCATTGGAAATATCCCATAGTATGAACCCTCAATAATTAATAGTTTCTAGCAAAATATTTACCACATCAAGTTAAACTAACAGAAGGCTAAATAATAGAAGTGAAAAGATTAAAACAGAAGGTTAATATTAAAATTGTACCTTCCTTTTTTTGTCATGCTATCTATTTCCCACATATTTATGGTGAATGATGAGCGTGAAGATTTGAAGCAGAAAGATAGTTGATCTTTTGCTCTCTCTAAATCACCACTCTCCCCCCTTCTATACAACCCTTGGGCCAACATGTATCTGGCCTTATGGAAATGCTTGAGTTCCCCCTCGACACAAGTTTCAAGGGCAGAGAGGCAATCATTGTAAAGCATGGACCATGCAGTATCCAATTTGAGTAACCCTCCATGCTTAGTATCCACAGAATTGGCATGAATACAGCTCTCCTTTGTATTTAAAGATGAGCTATCTGTGCTGCCAAGGATACTTATGACAGCTTCTTTTACAGATTGATCAAAGGAGTCTTCTGAAAGACCCTGTTGAGGACCAAACCAACCTTTAATTTTTAAATTGACTTGATGAATGGACAATCAGAATAAATGAACAATGGCAAAGGTAAGCAAATAAAATATATCAAAGCAATCAGAAAGAGACAAAACCTTCAGAATCCCCACATTCTGTTTTCCGCATTTAATTAATAGTTTCAAGCGCGAGGCATGCATTCTATAGACAGGATCAACAGCTGATGTGTTCAAAGCAATAGCTTTTGCGTAATACGATAGTGCAATTTCATATGAATATTCAAGCTTTTCGCTAAGTTTACCCAAGTAAAATGCATGCAACCAATCTTGCCTGTAAAAGAACAAAAGTGGTTCAAAAACGTCATTATAACAGATAAGTGCAGAAAATAAGACACAAGATAAGAGGGCGTACTTAAGTGCGAAGGCTTTCTTAAAATGTTTCATTGAGCTCTCACAGAATGCCATCCATGTTGCATCCTTTAAGGGCAAAACAGATCTCTGATCATAAAATGGGACTACATTTTGAAGACTGTCGTAGTATACCAAAGCCAATAACTCATGTATCTCGCACTGGAAATACAACAATTACACAAAAAAAAAAAAGTTAAACACAGTATCAAAACGCATACCAAGACAGTGACAACTAACATCTAAAAAGTTAAAAAGAGTGTATTTATTTAAGTTAGTATCGTAAGCATATAAAATTGCAAGCCAATAACATTACAAGTCTTGAACGTTACAGCTTTAAGACACATTTTGTTAGCCTGAAAACATAACAAATACACACAAAAGTTAAATACAGAATCAATATGTTTACCTCAGACAAAGACAACCAACATCTAAGAAGTCCCAAGAGTGTATTTATTCAAGTTAACATTGTAACTTGTAAGCATACAAAGTTATGAATCCATAACAATACAAGCCTTGAACATTACAGCATGAAAACGCATATCTATGGCACATTTTGTTGGCCTTAAATATTAGGGGTGTCCGCGGGTTGGGTTGGGTCTAATTTGATTAAATCCAATACCCGGCCCAATCAATAGTCTTTGGTTTGGGTTGGGTGTTCAACCTGTACTTCTAAGACTACACCCGACCCAAACCAACCCGCTTATCAATGGGTTGGGTTGGGTTGGATTCATCGGTCATCCACTAAATATAATTTTCAAATTTTAAATAAAATTTCAATTTAATTAACATATTTATTTTACAAAAAGATTTAGAAATCATAAAAATTTAGTATTTAATTTGAATAAAATTTATCGTTTAATACCTAAAAACTCTTTTAAAATTCAGATCAAGAAAAAAAAATATACAAATGGTTTCGGTTTCGAAAAATATACAAATGGTGTAAAATATGACTTAAAAGGCAAGTTATCTCTCTCTTTGAATAAAGAAATTTGATCTTTCAAATTTAATTTAAACTAAGGCTTTTCCAATTAATAAAAACTAAAGTATATATATATATATATATATATATATATATATATATATATATATATATATATATATATATATATATATATATATATATATATATATATTATGCATTGTAAGAATTATGCTAGATAATTTATGAATAAAAGAAAATAAAAATATCGCAATATGTCAATGGATTGGGTTTGCGGGTTCGTGGATTTAAAACATCAAACCCGTTACCCGAACCAAATACCAATGGTTGAATGGGTTGGTTCGGGTTGGACCCATACATGATTGGGTTGGGTTGGGTTGAGTGAGTGGGTTCGCGGGTTGACCCGTTCCCTTGAACACCCCTATTTGTAACGCAAAAAAATAAACGTAATGTATTTGTGACCACCCTTATCTGAAGAATTGAAGAGTCACAAATCCAAATACATTTGTAACGCACAAAATTAACTTACAATTTTCATAATTGTATTTATATATAACTTATTTATTTTTCAAAATAAATATGCTCAATTTCATGTATATATATATATCATTTGACATATTGTCCGACATTAAGAGTAAATGAGTAGCTATCAAAAAACAACAAGTTCCTTCATCTAAAGAAGATAACATTTGGATGGAATGTTTAGGGGTATAAAAAAATATTCTTTTCTTTTGTAGTTAAATTCTTACAATGATTGAACCAAACTGAACAAGAGGATATTGATTATCCTCGTCCAAGAAAAAAAAAATTCAAATGGGGTGAATATATGCAGGGGTCAAACCTGCTGAGCAGATGTCTTAGCCAAAGTTAAACTCATTAGTAGGCACCGTCTACTCCTTCTTCGGCTTGTTTCCACTCTCTCAGATAAAGTGGGGTTCTTCCTCCATCCTATTACGTTGATGTGCTTGCTACCATCATTAAGCAACAAATCTACTTCCTGGCTCAGTGCAACCAAGAACATATATGAAATTTTATATGTTAACATATTTAGATATTGAGGCTTCATTGTTCATCTGAAAATTTCAAAGAATCAACATTTTAAAGAGCCAAATGCAATTAAACTTGCCTCATCATAAATATTTCCAAGTCGCTGCCAGCTTTCAAAGCGTAGAGGATTGTACATGAGATCATATTTGAAGAGCTTAGCATTTTGCTCAACAAATTCTTCCCCTTCCTTGGTCAGCACAAATCCAGGCCATTTATCAGTTGCACTCATTTCCTCAGACAGAGCCAAGAAATGATACAAGTTACAGTAGACGTCTAAATATGGCTCAGACCTGAAAGATAAAAAAATGAGATAAACCTAATATAAAAACAAAGAATGTCATGGATATACAGTATCCATTAAATATGATTCACAGGAGACAGGTTTAACACGAAGATTAAAAAAAAACCACTAAAGTACAAATGTATACCTCCTCAATAGTGTTGTGCTATACTGTCCAAGACCTCCCACATCAGGAAACATGGTCTTAGTTATAGTTTCAAGAAATCCTTCAGACCTGGCCTCCTCGGATAGTTTATCTTCACATAGATTAGGATCATCAAGGAACTTATCAATTGGATTTCCTGTCAAAAGGTCCTCTGGTGGCTGAAGAAAGTGTTTCCTAATAGCTCTTAAAACTCTGCGAAGTTTGACCAGTCCAGTTTTCTAACAGAGATGAAAAAGTTTAGCAAAAAACAGTATAAAATTGCAATTTCGGTACCACATTGTGTAAACAAGCTGAGCTATGCAAATTAAAGAGAGTACTCACAGAAGATGCCTTCGCATAAGGAAGAACATATTTGAAAACATCAGCACACTGTTCTTTGGTCTGATAATCTCCCCGGCTTGAATTTTTGTGCATCACTAGATCATCTTCATAGGATGAATCAGACTTTAGGTTTAATCCATATAAACAGAAAAAGCACTGATCTAAGGCCCCATCAATTTTAGACTCAAGTTCTTCTGTTTCATCATCAGAAAGTTCATTTCCATGTTCAATCAATTGATTGCATGAATTTTCTTCCTTAACTAACTTACAGTCAGCCCCAGCAACCATGTTTTCTTCACACTCTACCTCCTTACTGTCTTTATTTTGAACTTTGCAAGATGAGACTCCTTTAGATATTCCTTCAGAAACATCCTTTTTCACAGAGGTAATTTCATCAATTCTAGTCCAATCCATTCGGAAATCTAATGTATCTGATATTGAATCTTCCATAGATAAATTGACAACACTGTTTTTGGATGCTTCTTCGCATTGCATTGGTTCTTTATTTTTAAGATTAAAGCTGGATTTGAACTTCATATCCAAGCCCAATAGATGCTTTATTGCAAATCTAAGAAATGTTCCTTCTCCACCTTTGACACCTTCACCGACACAGCAAAGCCCGTATTCAGCAAGCATGTCATGTGTTGCAACAATTAAATCAACCTGAGTTGAGCATTCAGGAAAAAATGGCAAAGATTTCTATTAAAAAAATTAATAATTTAAATGAGCAATTATTCAAAGTAAAATTATGCCACAAAGGAGATAGCTAACTTGAGTTTCGATAGGTGTGGTCCGGCTATGATGCTGAAGTTTGCAGAAAATAATGGCTGCATCAACAAAACAGTTGCTTTCCACTTGATCAGATATTACTTGTGCAGAGGTTTTGTTGCACACGAGTACATTTGCGACATAGCCCATGATTAACAGCAGCAGAGATTGCATTTGACAAATGCTGCTTGTTGGAATAGTGAGGCCGTCCTGCAAGCGTATGAACACAAATGCTTTCACGACAAAGGACATACTGCAGTGAAATAACGAGGAAACAGACAGTGCTGTTTGTAAAACCATGTTATATTAATTGGATTAGCAATCTCACCGATAATGGCTGTTTTACTTTTCGATGAAAAATACAGTTTATGACAAAAAGGGAGAAAAATATAATAAAGAGGATGATACAGTAGAGAGGAGCCATAAACACAACATAACAAAGCATATATGGAGGCAACTGAAGGTTCTTAAAAATCAGAGCAATATATGGAGGCAATTGAAGGTTCTTAAAAATCAGAGCAATACACCCTATTACAGAATTGGACAGTAAAAATTGCTTATTGCCACGATACCGAAATTCTTATTCCGACCTGTAAAAATTATTGCAATGCAAATTGAAATTGCACTCAAGATTGACCAACATAGAACTTATTCCATTGAAAAGTAGCCAGTGACAAAATAATTGGGCCACTGTGTCCAAATTCAAGCTGCACGTAACACATGTATCAGGAGAAAGATCTGCCTGGAAACTAAAATCAGCAAACATGCAATTTGTATTATTCCTTTAATCTTATTGAATACTGTTGTACAAGCAAAGGTCTGTAAATCTCTCTTTAAAGATTAAATAAATGGATTTTGATTCCAACAAAAATGGTTTCGAAACAGGATTGTAAAATAGTGGTTGTAGCAGAATTTGAACAAATCATAAGTGTTTTGTGATATGCTACTTAGTACAAAATGTTGTCAAATAGCAGCTACAGCGGCCCTATAGCACTGATGTGTGGCAACATTTGAATGAACTGCTACATTACACTATCTGCGACTGCCAACACTCGTTCAAAATAAAAATTAATATGGATATTGGATAATCCTTCAGACTAAGGTAAGTTTAAAATATTTTCCCATTTGATAAAATAGCAAATGATTTTGGTAAATGCATCCAGACCAAAGACAACAGACAATCGTTTGATGATATAACGAAAATGAAGACAAGATAGGAGAAAAAATCTCCAAAATTGGTGGGAAAAAATAAGAAAAGCCTAAAATACTACATATACTAAAGTCTAAAAGTATAGATTGCCAATCTCTTAAAATTCGACTAGAAATCTGCCAGCCCCAAAATATCAAATAAGCAAACTAATAGAGTATAATAGAGTAATGCCTTAAGAAAGGCTCATGTATGTGAAAAGACATTTTCCCTAAACTGTGTAACTAACTGACGCTGAGTCAGCAAAGTTAGTTACTTTATTAGGCTGCACTATATTAACTCGCTAGTGTGAGTCATTGTACATTCATTGAATGCAAAACTGAAATAACAGAATGAATCATTCTCTATCTTCTCTCTCTCTGTTTATCGTTTTCTAATACAAACACCAGTAATGCAAGGGAGCGAGCTTTTTTGTTTTTATATGCTACAAAATATTTTGTGGAATAATCAATACAGAATCATTCTGTTTGTACAGCTCATTAGGATTAGGACTAATGTAATTAATTAGTTATTATTTCCTGTTTTTACTGTGATTAGAATTAGCATTTATGGAAAAATTAACTCCCCTGATTTCTAGGATAGATTTCCCTTTCAAATTCTGCCTTATGTATTCTATAAATACTGCTATGTAATTCTCATCAAAGACAAGGAAATATAAAGTATATTTCTACATATTTCTTATACCATATTAAGGAGGCTTGTCCAGTTTATCCAAAAGGGAGTATTATACCTAAAAGTTCATGGATTAGGGTGATTAAACAGTCTCATTATAGACAATTAGTAGATATGTTTTAACTAATGGATTTATTTAAATTGTGCACATGAAATAAAGTTAACTTCACGACAGAAAAGCAACTTTATAGAAATACACCTCAGGATCAGACAGCTTAGAATCCAAGACTATCGACAATGATATTTACTCACGGAATCTCCACAGTGATCAATAACTTTCTTCACTTGTGATATACAGTCAGAGAGGGCCTTCACTTCCTCCGCAACCAAGTGGCTACAGTGCTTGCTAGAGCTTTCATTTGAGTCATCCAAATTAGAAGGTGTACTGAAACCATGTGTTTGGTCAAAAGACTTAAATGATGTAATACTTGTACTCAAACCCATCAACGCCATGAGTATTTTCAGTTTTCTGTAATGGCAATTGAAATACAGATCTACATCCATTGGTGTTATCTTCTGACATGCTTCAATTAGAACATCTAGAGCCATGAGCTCGATGGAAGTTAACTTTTCCTCTTTTTTATCTGCCATGGATAAAGAAAATGAATTGAAGTAGACATCCTGTGTAGAGAACAGAAGTGGAGTAAGAAGAGATACACAGTCAACATACTTTTCTTGTTCCATCATCCTAGTGATAGACTTTTCCATCAAAAAGTTGACCTTCAATATATTAACTTCGTAGAAAACTCTATCAATGTTTATCTCTTTTACATCCTTGCAATGTGGGCGGGGGACTGAACCTGGAGAATGTTCCATTTCTTCCCTTTTTTCCAAAAGTGACAAAGCAATACAAAATTCTTCACAAGCTTTTGCCTTGTTGCCTTCAAAAATAGACAATCTCCCACTTATCCAGTAAAATCGAGACCAGAATGAACTTTTTTTCATCAGAAGCGAGCTGTCTAAATCTGAATTATTCACAGTGGAGTTGTTTATTGATGTTCCACTAGTCTCTTGAAAACCATCAATTAAACTGCAACCTTCATTCAAGGCACTAGTCAGGTGAAAAGGATAGTCAAGTGCTACAGACTCAACAATCTTGCAAAGCTGATAAGATGCCTCTGACATCCATTCCAGTTGTTTAGAACCAGTGGGTGAGCATAACCCAAAATCATAATACAGCTCAGCAAGAAAAATGTTACACTCGGCAGTTCTATCCTTTCCCCAATGCCTTGTTAACTTTTCCAACTCCAGAAACTTGACAAAAGCATCCTGAAATGGTAGGCCTTGTCTTGAAACCTCTTCTAACAGCAAGTGCCCCATATGGTAAGCCCCATAGTTATTTGAAGTACGTCTTAAAAATGCAGAAACATGATCATATTCAGAATTTCCTGAGGAGGATAGTATAGTGGTATCACTATTGGTAGTTTCTTGATCACCCAATCCACCAGCAATGAAAGGTTCTAGATACCGAATGACAACCTTGGCAGGGTCCTTACCACAAGAGTTTGAATCTTCTTTCCCTGGTTTACGACTGCGGAGCCTTTCCAGTCGAGAACTTCGCCTTTCATGTGGTTGTTCTTCTTGGGTATTTGCTTCTTTCTCTTTAAAAACACTTGCTGGTCCTACATTAGCACCAAAAGCACTATTCTCACCACTTAACCCATTCACTTCCACGGTGTTCAGAGCAGCTTCTGAACTACATGGCAAGTTTACTCTTAACCTAATGTCCGGAGAACTGCACGTTGTTTTAGGTTCCACCTCAGAAATTTTCAGATTTGAAGGCAGTAAGATCCCCAGCAGTGCATCAGCAAGAGCCACCCAGGAAGCTTCAGTGAGGTATAGATCTTTGTTTTGGTTCAACTTTTTAAATGCAACATCCTCATCTATATTCTCATCAATAGCTTTTCTCTTAGCAGAAAATTTGAGCCGCACATGTTTTGGTTCCAATTTATCTATGCCTCTGGGAGCAAATGGCAATGGTTCCGATTCTTCAATAGTATTTCTAACATGCAAAGCACGAGAATGTGATGGCCAGTGCCTCAAAATCAACTCAGCAACAGAAAGGCAGGCAACTTCATCACCAATTGCAATAAGAACCTCCAAAAGTTTTTCCATGCAATTCCCTACATCACACATCAAGGGTGGAATATCACAGATGCACAAATAGAACTATTATTAAATAGAATATATTATGAAAACTACTTTCAAAGGAAGAACTTTATTGTTGGAAATGATTATCCAAATAATTTTGAAAGAACTAATTTTGTCTAGATAATAATGCAAACAAATTTCAATCTTGAGCCACAGTGATAATCACCGCCTCACAGGGGTAAAAGCTCGCATCTCTTTGATTTTCCCCAGAAGAAGTTCAAAATATAAGTAAATGCAATGAATGAGGACAAGTTTGTAAAGCACTAAATATAAATATGCCATAATGCATTCTAGCTGAATATCCATTCAGTGAGAAGTAACAAATTATTACAATAGGTGGAATGGCCTTTCAAACTGCTCAACATGGGGGTTTTAAGTAACTTTAGGGTCCAAAATGCAATTGTATGTTGTGGATGTCATTCTTAAGTTTTATCCATCAAACATGCTCATGCAGGCATGAAGATATAGATAGACAGTTCAAAATACACTCAATTGGAAAAACACGAAGGGACTTAATCCAGACATGAAAACAGAAAAGAAATACCAATGACCACGTCATTGAGTAACCACTAGAAAAAGGAAATGTTAAAAATATTAGGTGCTTACAGTTATTAGGGCTGCACAAGAGGCCTTGTTCAAATGCCCAACGTGAAATGCTCAGTGAGCCCATTGAACATGACAATGTTCCCAGCTGGTTCCATACAACGGAATCTTTAGAATCAATGTCAACAGCTTGAAGATAACAATGTAGAGCATTCTCATGATGAGTAGAACCTAGCTGAAGAAAAACAGCGGCAAGGTTTTTCAACGCCAAGAACCTACAGAAACCTCTGTAAGTAACACGGAGATGAACATATATACACACGCACATAATTAAGTGAACGGTGAATTAGCACAGATAAGAGGAGCTATCTGTTATGAATATATGTAAGAATCTTCAAATGATCAGGTTATAGGTTTCAGATAAAATAAATTTGTTAATCGCAAATAGCAGAAAATAGCAGTTTTTTCAAATTCTGCTAGGCAACAGTACTATAGTGCCGCTATCAGTGTCATCAAATAGCTGCGCCATGGCCGCTATGGCGGATATAGATGACGGTTTTTGGGCTCGCCGCAATGGTAAATATCAGCCGATATTGCGGGTTTTTCAACCATAATCCCCTATACCTGCGCATTTCCGCCATCAACACTGCCACTATATCACAATACTAAATACTAAATAGTGTATCCCGGAACAGTGGTTTGTTCAAACTACGCTATGCAATAGAGCTGTTGCCACTATTAAACAACACTGAAAGCAGAAGAGAAATAATAACACATATACATTACATACAATAATAATGTAACAATTACTGGAAAAAATCTAAAAAACGAAATTATTTTATAATAAAGAGTGGCACGCCTCACCTTACAAGCCAATTTTGTAAGGATGAGTTAGACTAAATATGAAACTTAAAATGCTATCATAGCTTATAGATCCACGCGACACCATTTATATCCACACAGCAAGTTCAACAACGCTAGGCATGAGGGGGTGCATTGGAAAAACCCAAGTCACGTGTTGAAATGAGTTTACAAAGAGTGGTCTTTCATCTTACAAACCGGTATTGTAAAAATGAGTTAGATCCAATATAAAACCTAATAATAATGATTTTATACAAAAGCCAAAACACCCGTGTTGTCAAATATCGGCCATGAACATGCCATGGCGGATTACGGTGATGGATTTTTGACAATCACCGTGGGAAATTTGTAACTGTTCATGTCGCCATGGCATTTTAAGGCAGTTCAACTATGTTGTTAATTCTATATAGTGGAGCAGGATTGCAACTATTGCAAATACTAAAAATCAATGTATAAAGTACAAATAAATACTCAAAACTAAAGAGACCATCATACTTAATAATTAAAGAACCTAAAGTATAGAGCAATAAAACTTAAACAAAGAAGAACAAAACATACTTGAACTAAAAGTAAGAGGAGGAACAAAACAATTGTTTGAGAACAAGAACATAACAGAATGAAAAATAGACAACAGTTTAAAAAAAAGATTACCCTTAAAACGGGTTCGAATTGACATTATACTCTTGGTGGACTCAACAAACAACTGTTTGGGGCCCCAATTTGTGGCCACGACAACCAAGGATGTTAAACTCTAGAGTTAAAGTCAATCTGTTTTGGCCAAGTGAAATTGACTCTTAAACTCGACTCGTGGACTAATCCGGGTTTCCCTCATATTGAAATAATATCAAAATTAATTTATACATAACATTATACTTTATACAATATCATAAATGCATCAATAACTCAAAACTTCAACTTATTATAAAACAAAAATACACTAAACTATATAAAAAGGTTGTAATCATAAACTTGTATCAAACTACATAAATTATCCTACCAAATCATAAAAATGTAAGTTCTTAATATTGTTAAGATTTTAAAAGAACAAAAAACAAGGCAAAAAAATGAAATTTCAAAACGCAACAAACTCAAATTGAGGGATAATAGTTATCCCTCACAATGTGTTTGGCAAATACCATTTCCAGAAACTTTATTCATATCAATGTGTTTGGCAAATAAATAAAGTTCCCAGGAATATTTTTAGGTTTTATTTTAATTAAATTTAAAAATTAAAAATTAGAAAATAAATGTGTTAAAATAATATGAGAGTGGGAAGTTATGGTTGGTTATTTTATATTCCCGTGGGAATGTAAGATTCCCATCCTTTGACATGGGAATAAAAGTTAAGAAGTTCATGAACAAATTATATTCCTAGGAATAAAAAGTACCCGGGCATAATTTATTAAACCTTAAAACAAACAAAGGAATATGTGAATTCCAATGTCACATTCCCGGTACTAACATTTGTATCCATAAAACAAACACCCACTAAGAGTTTACAGAAGAGAGAGTTTACATGATAGTAAACTTGTTTTTATGACTTAAATTCATAAAATTGCAAGAGTTTAACAACCTTGGCAACAACCGTTATTGCAAATTGCAGCTTGTAAGCCAAAAGCATCATGGGGAACCCTATCACCGCTATGCTGTTCTGCTGTTGCACACTATAGCAGCTCAAAATGATGGATTTCTAGCTCTCCGCCTTGGTCCTCCATCCTCAATCGATAACACTGCTAAACACTAACCCTTGTTTATAAGGATACAGGACTCCTAATCCTAAATAAGTAGGAAAACAGGGAAACTAAATCACGGTACTAATAACTAAGCAATATGGAAACTAATTTTAGGAGATAATGTAAGATGCTCTAAGATTAGAAACTAATCTTCCAAGATAAACTACTTCATAAATCATAATATTCTAAGATACTCTCTTATATTTCAATACTGACAAATCTAACTGGACAAGTTATAAAACACTTATAACAAAACGCTGATTAATCCTATCTATTAAGCGTACAACAATGCTTACAGATACTGAGTCGACCCAGTTTAGTATCTGAAGCGTTGCAAGAAAAACAACAGCTTGTGCAGGGAGAAAAATGGAAACATGCAACATGAATTAAACAGTGCATGTATATGGGTCTCTCCTACAAAGCAGCGCATAAGCATGGCATGACTTTTTAAACTAAGCCCCTCATCCCCAATAAAAGAGTAGTTTAAAGAGAAAAACATCCACCAGCTGCGTAGTTTATGAAGATTAAAAGAAGTAAACAAATTTATTATCAGAATCAATAGTTTCCTAGAACTTATGTTACTGTAAATTTAAACAATAAATCCGTGTCCAACGTTGCTTCACTATACAATGGGTTGACATAGGAAACTATATGAAGATACAACAAGGACAAGAACAGTGCAAAACTTGATATAGAATATGCGTAGTATAGATTGAAACCTGAGCTGCAATAGATGACTATCACCAGCACCTCTATCCACCTTAGCATTAGCAATGAGAGGATCTTTAAGAACAGATTCTAAGAGCTCGCGAGCCTTTTCAAATTCTTTTGCTTGTAACTTGACAAGTCCATCATGATAAGTTTGAGAAAGATGAAATTCCTGAAAAAATAAAATAAACAAGGGAAAAACATTATATCATGTGATCATTGACAATGTATAGCTACTAAGTTTGCATAAACAGAAACTAAAGTTAAACCCTAAGAATCATAATCATTGTAACCTAAGAACCATATCAGAGTTAGTAAAGAGAGAATGAGAGAAACGTGCCTGAGCCTCTTTGGTGGGAGCTAGTGGTTCCCACTGACATTTAGAGTCGGTGTCATTGATAGCTGCAATTGAGAACTGAAAAAACCAAAACCGAAGAACTTTGATCAGAATGCGAACTTCGAAACTCGCAAGAAGCTACAAACGTTAACGATGGAATTACAACGGTCATAATGAAGATAATAGCATACCATATTTCAAGGTTCAGAGTATCAAGTGTTCAAATTCGCTGAAGTTTCACCGATTTAGGGTTCCGGCGTTCGATTTAGGGTGCCGGTGTTCGATTTTGGTTTCGGATTTTTTTTCCAGTTGTAACTCGTGTAAGTGTGAGAGAGCGAGCGCGCTCTGAGAACCGCGGTTCAACTATTTCAGAAACGACGTCGCCGTCAAGACTTCACCACTTTTTATACCTTTTATTAAAAGAGAAAAAAACCGTAAGTTTGAAACTAATTCATCTGTTCTCTTCTATGTGTGTAATGAATTGCGTTGAGTCGGATGTTGAATTGTTACACACAAATTAAAAAGTATAATAATTGTGTAAATAAATATAACAATATTACAAAATTAGAAATTTTCACCCAAATAACCAACATTCCCCCCTTTAATATCCAAACTACCCAACTTTCCATCATATTCTCCAATTTACCCTAGTTTCGTTTTTTTTTTATAAGGGGGCGCCATGGGGTATGGCTCCTCCCTTATAATTTATATGGGGCGCCATCCAGAATGGAGGCACCCTATAAATTATAAAGGGGGCGTCATCCCCTTTGTCTCCTCTCTTAAATTTGATTTTTTTTATAATTTTAAATGTATAATTAGTTTAAAAATATTTAATAAATAATATTTAATAAATAAAAAATATTTTTTAAAAAAATAATTATATAATAATAATTTCTAAATAATTTTTATTTATTTTATAAATAATAAATAAATAATAATTTATAATAGCATTAAAAATTTTCAAATAATAAAAAAAAATCAAATTGTATTTAATAAATTTAATATTAAATAATAATTACAATAATTATTGAATCACAAATATGAAAGATATTGTAAACTAGTTTCTACGCCGTGGTCGGTTTAAATGTTCGCCCGTACCGCATCCCCGATCACGTACATTTCGTTGTGGTCTTTGTTGTGGAGTCGGGTCCATTGTGTCGTCTTCAAGCAATTGAATCACTTCGGCCCATGAAGACGGATCCATATCTGTAAAGTCATCCAAATCAAAAGAGTTGCCCATGCCTTCATAGTTATTTTGGGGTGGTTGGTTAGACGGGGCAATGTCAGGACGATAGCCTGCCTGATCGTATGGTGGGATGGGTGTAAATGATTGGGTGGGTATTGGTTGATTGGGTGTTTGAAACTGGGTGTTTATTTGGTTTGTAGTATCCATGGAGTATGTGTGGTATTGTGTGGATTGTGAATGAGTTTGTGTGAATGGAGTGAATTGGTTAGGGGTATGTTTATATTGTTGTGATTGTGTGAGTGGGGTTGAAAATAGGGTTGGGTTGACGGTTGAAAATAGGGTTGGGTTGGCGGTTGAAAATGGGGTTGGGATGGTGGTTGGAAATGGGGTTGGGTTGGCGGTTGGAAATGGTATTGGGTTGATGGTTGGCAATGAGGTTGGGTTGGCGGTTGGAAATGGTATTGGGTTGATGGTTGGCAATGAGGTTGGGTTGACGGTTGGAAATAGGGTTGGGTTGGTTGTTGGGGCCTTGATGATGAATCTTGTTGGCGTGGGTCAACTAGATACCTTGGATGTGAAATGAAACCAATTGATACAGACCTATACCAAGTCATGTATTGTATTGATTGTTTCATCTCGTATGGAAACACAGTGTCAGACAAAACATAGTTGTTGCGATGCCTCCATTCACGACACTCGTGTTTTGCATACTTGGTCCACGGATTATACTCCCATTGGTCGGAGACTTTACCGGTGTGATATTTGTCGGGGATGCACTTTGGTGGACATGGAATATCTTGAAGCATTCCAAATTGAAGTTTCACACGATCAGTGTTGTGCATTTCCACGGTGGTGAAGTTGATAATCGGCACCTTTGCACTCCACACCGCAGAGTCTTGTCGTTCAACTTCATAAAAGGCTTCTAGACCAAGATACGGCCGCCAAATGAACTGTAGGAGGAAAAAATGAATATTAAGTATTTTGTAATAATATTAAAGTAGAGAATAACATAAATAGTAAGGTTTGTGAGTATACATCATCTTGACCCAAGTGATCAATAAGATTTATGTACTGTGCGATACTGTAGTGTGGACAGTTGTCATAATTCATTCCAAGCGAAAACCACCTACAAATCGAAAAGAAAACATTTATTAATATGGATAACTTTGTTGATTTCTACAATCCTTCTCAACAAATTGAAAGTGTCTTGAAAGTCGGAAACCAGTACCGCACAAAAGAGGAGTGCATGAAAGCCATAAGAAAGTTTCATATGGATAACTTCGTTGATTTTTACATCAATCGAAACGACTCAAAACGTTATGTCGTAGTTTGTCGTAACGTAAGTTGCAAGTTTCGGTTAGCAGCGTCCTATCGGAAAAGAAGTGATTGTTGGGAGATAGGTTCGATGGATCCACCTCATAGTTGCACAACCAACATTAATCGGCAAGACCATGGAAAACTAAGCTCTCAATTGATATCCCAAGAAATTTTGCATCTTGTGGGCGCGGATCCATCTGTGAAGGTGAGCACAATTATCTCTCATGTTGTTGCACGGTTCAACTATACCCCATCGTATAGGAAAGCTTGGATAGGTAGAATAAAAGCGGTGGAACATGTATATGGGAATTGGGAGCATTCTTACCATCAACTTCCACAGTATTTACTAGCACTTCAAAAATATGTTCCTTGTACGGTTGTAATATTTGAGTCACTACCAGCATACACTCCTGAAGGAACATGTGTTGCTGGAAGTAGGATATTTTCTCGTCTCTTTTGGGCATTTCAACCATGTATCAAAGGTTTTGCGTTCTGCAAACCAGTTATACAAGTCGATGGAACATGGTTGTATGGAAAATACAAAGGAACATTGTTGATGGCGGTAGCACAAGACGGAAATAATAATATATTTCTGATTGCCTTTGCCCTGGTCGAGGGTGAGACAGGCGAAGTTTGGAGTTTCTTCCTCAGAAATCTCAGAACATATGTCGCACCTCAACCCAACTTATGTCTGATTTCTAACAGACATGCTTCTATTGTGAGCGCCTACAACAATCCTGCTAATGGTTGGCACAACCCTCCTTCTGTCCATGTCTTCTGCATAAGACACATTGCTCAGAATTTTATGCAGGAAATTAAAGACAGAAATCTCCATAAAAAAGTTGTGAACGCTGGGTATGCCTTAAACCAACCATCGTTCATGTATTACCGAGAAGAAATAAGGTTGTCAAGCGTGGAAGCATTAAGGTGGGTGGATAATATTCCAGTCAAGAAATGGACTAGGTCATTTGATGGAGGGTGTAAATGGGGTCACATGACCACAAATCTTGTAGAATCCCTAAACGGCGTATTTAAGGGAACTAGGAATCTCCCCATCACTGCGTTGGTAAGGGCAACGTATTACAGATTGGGGTCACTTTTTGCAGCAAGAGGCAAAAAATGGAGCGTTGTACTGCAATCAGGGCAAATATTCAGCGAATCAAGCATGAAGTATATGAGGGATGAAACTTCTAAGGCGGCCTCACATCGAGTTAGACCATTTGATCGTCACGATTACAACTTCATTGTTGATGAGACAATGGATCACAACGAGGGTCGGCCAATGGGACACTGCAGGGTGGAACTTCATAAAAATTGGTCCGACTGCGGAAAGTTTCAAACCTTCTGCATGCCTTGTTCACATGTTATTGCCGCATGTTCAACTGCTCGTCAAGATCCATTCTTGCAGCTATCAGAAGTTTACAAGGTCGTGAACTTATTCGGTATCTACAGTAGCAGTTCTCCAGTGGTAGCTAGTGAGGACTACTGGCCAACCTATCATGGAGACACAATCTACCACAATGAAAATATGAGAAGAAACAAAAAGGGCCGCCCCAAAACACCCGAATTACAACTGAAATGGATACAGCTGAGAAAATGGAAAGATTGTGCGGAATATGTCGTCTTCTCGGGCATACGAGGAAAAGCTGTCCAAATGTTGGAACAAGTTCTAGGTAGATTTAATTTGGTCTTTAAAATTTGTGTAATCGTGGAATTTAATATTTATATCAACTTTTCATTACCACAAAAACGAATTGAATTACTTCTACAACAACAACGCAAATCATTAAAATACAACGATTATTACAACATAACCTAAGATATAACAACAATCAAAGTAATATCATCAGTTCCGAACATCATAGACCTAACTTCGTTGTCATCTCTAATTCGCACCCAGTCTCGCCGTATGTTTCCGTCTTCAACAGAGAAGTACGAGACAAGTCTTTCAATACTCCTAATTCTTTCACCATTTGGAATGTCTCCTTCTAGCCACCGATTCAAATTTCTTCGTAGTTGTTCTAAACTCTGGATGTTCCAAAACAACATCCTTATCGGAGGCTTCGTCGGTGAAAAAATTACATGCCCATATCTTCTAAGGAACATGACTCACTCTTCTAAATTTGGATGAAACAATGTTAACAACAAGTCTACCTATTTATAAAAAAAATTTGGAATAACATAATATAATATTTTAATTATATTAATTATAATATATTTCAAAAATTATTTTCGTATAAAGGGAGCTCCATAGGGGATAACGTCCCTCTTTAAGTCATTTAAGGGAGGAGTCAAAGGGGATGGCGCCCCCTTTATAATTTATAGGGTGCCTCCATCCTGGATGGCGCCCCCATATAAATTATAAGGGAGGAGCCACACCCCATGGCGCCCCCTTGTAAAAAAAAAAATACAAAAGTTGGGTAGATTGAAGAATATGAGGGAAAGTTGGGTAGTTTGGATATTAAGGAGGGTAAGGTTGGTTATTTGGGTGAAAAATTCACAAAATTACGCTTAATTATTATTGAATATTATTTATTATCATAAATAGATAACAAGATATATTACTTTGAATTAATTTTGCATTGAAAAGGGAAAAAAACACTTATTTTGAGACAAACTTTTTTTTTATAAAAATACAACTATTTTGAGACAGAGAGAATATATAGTTGTTTTCGGTCAAACTCAAATGTT